ATATTCCGATAGTTACTGCAATTTGTAGAGAGCGCAAGTTTCTGATAACAGAGAGTTCTTGATATTTACTGCAATTTGTAGAGGATGTAAGTTTTTGATCGAAGAAGTTTTTTAAATTTAGTACTATTGCTGCAATTTGTAGAGAATGCTAGATTTTAGTTGAACTAAAATTTTTCTTTGAATCTAGCTCCGAAGACTTTCAATGGAAGTCAAAAATAGAATGTACTACCCCAGAGAATATACTGAGTTAAAGGTACCCGAAAAAGTTCCCTGCTACCAGTATATCACAGGAACTTTTGGGTACCAAAGTACTTATAAGTACTTTCAAGTACCTAATTGGTACTTTGACAGGTACCCTGCTACAAAATGTATAGTAACTGGGTACTAGAAGATGCTGATCAGATACTCAATTGGGTACTATTGTGCAGTATTTCTAGGTACCCTGCTACCAAAATTTCAGTATGTTCAGGATCGAACCTGACCTTTCACATTTTTTTTTCTCAAACCGATTTATTACATTTTTTTTGATTTTATGATATTTAATTTTTTCAATTCCGAAGACTCAACAGGTCAAATATCGAGATCTGACCAAACTTGAGTTGGTCGAGTATCCATGAGACCACCTCAGGATAGTCCGCTCTTAATCTACGATCAAGATCGGCAAGTTCTCGACAAAGGAATAGTCAAGAAAGAGTGAAGAAATAATCTAGAAAAAATTCGTATGAAAACAGATTAATTTCTTCTATTTTGCTCTGTTGTTTATACGGAACTGTGCGCGAAAAAGAAAACGGTGAATGAACAGTCGCTACGCAGAACGCGACAAATGTAGGGTACCCTGTAGAGTTTTTCTCAGTAAAATTACAGATGCGGGTATCCATATCAGTACTTGCTCAGTGAGAGTACTTTTATGGGTACCTCTTGCAGTACCTACATCAGTATAATTACTGAGAATTTTCGAAGTACCCATATTAGGTATCCTGCTAAGGCTTTCTCAGTACATGGATATCCTGAACTCAGTACTTTCTCCAGGATAATCAGGTTTTTCTTTTACTATTGCTAAACTAATACTAATAATACACGAGCAAAGGTTGCCGATTTGGACTAAACTAAGCATGACTTCAGTTAAAGACAAAGCGAGTTTTTAAGGAGACTGTATCATAATTTGTTGTGATAATTTGATATTTGTTCAGACTCTCATGTGGGCAAATCAAATTGTGTTCGCCAAGAGAAGACGCTCATTAACATCTATATTTGTGACCCATCGTGTTCAGAACATCATTTTTTGTATGTATGATTTTTCTGTATGGATGCTTTTGTATCCCCATTAATTATCTCTATTCAATGTCCGATCCCATTTTATCATCATAATTATATGATCTGTTCAAAATCAAAAATAGCTGATGGCATTCATAGTAACAATGATATCTGACGAACTCTATAACTGCTGTCAATTAAGAATAAAAAAGCACTACTATATTTTCGCGCACTCTACAAATTACAGTTCATGAAATTGAAATAATGAAACTCAACATCTAGTAAACTCTATAAATTTCAGTAATTAAACACAAAAAAAGCACTATATATTGTAGTTTAGCGCACTCTACAAATTGCAGATCGTTAAATTGAAATAATAAAACGCAATCTTTAGTAAACTCTATAAATTTCAACAAGTTTAAAAATATAATTGAAATTTTAATTTGTTTTAAAATTGATATGAGTAATTTTTTTTTAAATTTCAAAACCAAAAATTTTAGACCTAAGTTTATTTTAAATTTGAATAAATTAAGTTTAGCAGATTTTTAATTTCGATTTTATGTTCGCAGATGAGAGGACATGGTTTATACTATTACTCAACGTCCGATATCACTATCATTCTTTATGCCACTGTTCAACACGTCTGGCGTGATCACCGATCTTTGTACTATTGTTTAACATATGACACGACCCTATAAATACACACGCTTTTTCATTTCTTGTTAATAAACTGTATAACCAGTGCTAACAAAAATATTTTGTTTTTTTCTATTTTGTTAAGTATTATTTCAATAGATTTATATTAGATAGTCGTTAGAAATATTTCATTTGCATTCTCCAAATTTACATATAAACAAAATGGATGATAGTACCATCCCAGGTCCAATAAAACGGCGTCGTAAACGGCCTGAAACGGCTATAAAACGGCGATTAACGATGTAAAACGTCGACAAACGGCACCGTAATCCGTCATACCAGATTACGGAAGCAAAACCGGAAAAAAACGACCGCCGTTTTCTAGCGATAGACGGTGGTCGTAATACGGTATGACGGATTACGACGAAATAAGGCCAAAATTACTGCAGTAATTCGCCGTTTTATAGTCGTTTCAGGCCGGATACGACGCCGTTTCCGACGGCCGGAATGATCCACCTGGGCAATCAATCAACTAAAACAACAACAACAACAACAGATAACGATAATGAAATTTATGTAAGTATGATAGTTATCTCGAATATTTCAAATAAATTAATTTCTACTACAACATATACATACAAAATATTAATTTTTCATATTCTTAATTCAAAGAATATTCATTATATACTATTTAGTTTTTCTATATATAATATCATATAAAATGAAATAAATTAATTATTGTTATTTATTACTATTATTTAAAATTTTAGTGCAATGATTTTATTCTCTATTTACAATAATAGTATTATTAAAACGAAAATCTTTTTCATTTTTTCTTTCTTGCAGTCATCAGCGAAATGTTTGAAACAAATCGATGATTCTAATATACAACAAACGGAAGAAACAAAACATGATTTAACTGATGATGAAGAATCAGAAGGTAAAGCTTTTTGTTTCTTTGTTCTTTGATAAAACATTAAAACAGAAAAAGAAAATAAAGAAGTTTCTCATAAGAAAATATACATATGAATACAAAAATGTTTTTAGATTAAGTATAAGTTATTATTAAATAAGTCTAAGCATTGAATTCAATTTCAAATTTAAATCTAAGTTTCACAATTAGATGCTATTGACTAGATTTGTAAAAATCTATGTCCTTAGATAGTAAATGAAGAAATTCTTTTACATCAATCTATGATATTCTTATCAATATTTTTCATATTAGAAAAAATCATATTTTATATTAATTTTAATATAAAGTTCCACAGAATTAAATACTCTATATTTATAAACAATAGCTAAGAAAATCAAAACTTGATTTTATATATCTATATATTGTAAAGAAATATTTCTATACTTGTATAATATATTATTTTAGTATTATTGTCTGCATGTAAAATTATATGATTTAATTCATTAGAATTTATAGTCATATGAACAATAAGATATATCATATATTGAAATAAACATAAATATAAATATATGTATATTTTTTCCTATATATAACTTTATGATTTGTAATATCAAATAGTCTAGGAAATATTCATTGATTGTCAATAATCATTGAATATGTATGTATAAGCATTTTTCTTCCTCGATAAATCATAAAAAGAAGATATAAAAAACAAATGAGCATAATCTATTTCTTTTTCTATTCTAACTATAGTTAACTCAAATAAAAGATATTAGTTTAGTTTTTCATCTTTTCTTCCTATTATTTATCATCTTATAAAAAATAAAAATTCTTTACGATTAGTAAATGTTTGTTAGAATTCTAATTTCTTTTTATTGTTATGTTAAAAGAGATAAATAGAAGAAAAAAGAAAAGTTACGTTCTATATTTACTCATGCGTCTATAATTCTATATTCAAAATAAAACTATTTTGAAATATTTAGAGAAATAGATTTTTCTATTAATCTTCCAGTTCTTCTTCAAAATATTTTTAATTAAGAAAAAAATTTTTTAAATTTATTCATATTTTGAATATTTCTTCTATGTATTTAACTCTTTCTATTATTATTATTAATTGTAATAAATTAATCATATCATTATATATATGTAAATTATTACTACTACACTATATAAATATATAAATATTTTCTCTAGAATATTTTGTTTTCTTTTTTTGATTTATATGTCAATGAGAAAAGTATATAAAGTCTAGCATGAATTTTATCATCAATCTTATATATAGAGAGCAAGTTAGCAATGTTAACATATACCAAGATATGATAAAAAGAATATGGATAACTATTCAAACACAACTCCATGCTTTGTATCTTATTAAAGAAATTTTTCTATAATCTATAAATATTTTGAGTTAAAAATTTCAATAATTCATTATAGTCATATGCTATTTATTTGAAAATTTTCTCTAAATTTTCATCAAAACGTTTTTCACAATAACACAAACCAAAAGAATTAAAAGAATAGTGTAAAATAAGACTATTAATTAATAGGATTTATTAGATTTCTATATGCTGTTTCACTACTGTTCTAGATTCAATTATTAAACAATATTTAAAAAATGTCTATTCTTATGATATTCAACATGCAGAACTCATAAAATTTAATTCATTATTCAAATTTCCTAAAGAAACACCAAAAAAAAATTAATTGTGTCTTATATTTCACCAAATAATCTATTGCGTAAAAGTATATTAACTAATTTATATCTATCACGTGAAAATGAGCAATGGCAATTACGTTCTTTAAAAAGATTATCTATATTATTTGATAATTCAATAAATCATTATTTAGAAGCTGAATTATTATTGGTTTTACATGTTTCAAAAGTCAACACAGAAGATATACCTAAAATAGAAGATCTTATTAATAAGGTTCTACCAATTGAAAAAATAGAAAAACTAGTTATATTAAAAGAATTAGGATTAAATTTAAATATTCTTGATGAATTTAAAATGATTTTATTAAGTAATCAAATTATTCATATTATTCAAAATATATATTTTAAATTAACAAAAAGACAAATTGATACAAAGGATTTAAAACAAATAGTTAATGATATACATATAGAAATTGTACGAGTTACACGAACAACTCTATTAAGAGGGTTTAGTGTAGAGATGGAACCGGTCTACCTTTTTCAGACCGGTACCGGTGCGGGTCTGGAGAAAGGTAGACCGGACCGGACCGGCCGGTATACCGGTTTGACCGGTCCAAACCGGTCCAAACTGGTCTACCGGTCTAAACCAGTCTACCGGTCCAAACCGGTCTAAACCGGTCTGACCGGTCCAAACCGGTCTAAACCGGTCTGACCGGTCCAAACCGGTCTACCGATAGTGACAGGATACTGGTGATACGCTAGTTTATCAGGAAAACCCGACCTATCGATAAAATATCGATCTACAGACAACAGGCTGAAGCTTAAAATGAAATCTTGTGCAGTGAACTCTTTGGTGGGTTACCTTCGTACCTTGAATACAATCATAGAGCAGGAAAGTGAAAAATATAGACCAGTATAGACCGGTTTAGATCGGTAGACCGGTAGACCGGCAGACCGGTCGATCCAAAATCCAGACCGGTACCGGTTCCATCTCTGGTTTAGTGGAAGAAAAATATTATATATCAATGCTGATCATTTTCTCTCAAACTATAAACAACTTAGTCCATCTTTACCATCGGAATTGTTACAATTGGATTTATTAACAGTAACATTTCATGAAAGTATGCATACTATATTACGTGATTTAGAAAATAATTATAATTTATCTACACCAATTGATTATAAAGAAGCTAAGGTTGAAGAAGCTGGTGTATATATTGAAAAATCTATATTTACATGTTGTCCAGATTGGATAGCAATATATGAAACTAAAATTATATCTATTTCACAAATAATTTTAATTTTAAATGCATTAAAAGAAGATCAACCTATATCATCATTCTTACCACAAGGTCTTAAATTATATACTAGAAATGTTTCTACAATGGCACTGAATATAACATCTCTTGATTTTCAACAACCATGGGAAGTTTAAAAAACAAGTTTTTTATTTTTCAGGTAAAAATCATTTGTAATAAAACCAACTAAATTCATTTGTTTATTTATTTCTTACTTTTTAGATATACATTTTTTTTTCTTTTATTTTCTTGTTAAATTTCTTGTGTGAATCGTTGTAAATAAAAAATGCTCGTCATTTAAATTATTTCTGTTCAATTATCAAAACTATTTCATAGTTTTTGCTGTTTTGTAATTGAAAATAAACATCATATAATAATTATTGTTGATATGATGTCTTTGATTTATTTTCATGTATTATTCAATAAACATTAAATGAATAAATGTATGAATGAAATCAAATCAAATGATTTCTATGTTTAATCATTTTAATAAACTATTTATCTATGAAAATGTTATAGAAAAAAAACGATCAATATAATTTTAAAATAATTATGTCACTCATATTATTACAATTAAAATATTTACTTTTAATTGAAATTATATATTTTTTTTGTAGCTATATTTTGAAATAGTATCTCATCAATATAATAATAACTAGCAAGAACCCGTGCATATTGCACGGCTGATTCCTCCTTTAACGTATGACCTTAGACGTTTAACTTTTCATCCGGTAACAGACATACAGACACCTGATATTATCTATATAGATAGATAGCCCTACCGCCTGATACACTTATATCGCACATATTTCTATAGTCCAGATAGCCTTCGGCCTCATAGTCTTATATCCCTTGTAACTCTTGTAGCCTTATCTCCTTATTGCTTTACCCGTTATTACCTATCCCCTTATTACCTTACTCTCTTGAGGTTCTATCCGTGTTCCCATAACATAGTCCTTAAGAGAAGGTCCGCAAGAGGACCACCCTAGGTCGCCGGAGAAAAACTTTTTTTTTCGATTTTATTTTCTTAAATGATAGGTCTAGTTAAACTATAGTTAAGTCTAAAATATTATGTCATTTAGTTTCACCTACGAAAAATGGCTGCTAAAACAAGTTTTAAGGGTGTATTTTGACCCTCAAAAACTCATTACAGGAGGGTGTGCTCAGTATTTTGAGATTTTGTAAAGAATGGTTTGGTCGTTTGAGCTCGGGGATATCTCATTCGATAGAGAGATGTTTGGGCTACAATTTTAATAACTAATATATTAGCTAGAAAAATTGCTGCAGATCGAAAACCATTGAAAACCCTATATGTAATCTCGTCTCCAGATGGCGGTATTTTGGGTCTTTCGCGAGCTATGTACGCCGTGCCAAAATTCTTTTTTTATGAGACATACATCTTAGTGAGACATATCTTTTGATATAAAATTATCCTAAAAAAAAACTGAGAGGCTGAGTTAGTATGGGGCACACTGTAGTCTACCCTGCCTACTGACTATTAAGATTATCCCAGGAAGTCATACAATTTCTTCAGTCAATATTCGTTCGCAGTAATCAAATTTTCAAAAATTGAATATAAATTTTAATCGTTTTACAACAAACTAATAAAAGTATCAAATTTAAATCAAACGAAATTTCGAAACATTTAATTTATTTAAAATTTATTTTCTTCATGGTCGCAAATGAGAGGTAATAACCATATAAGATGTAGATGATCGTTCAAGAAGTCTTCTATCTCGTAGTCCTATTCATCGACATGAATTATCAAACCAACTCTATAAAAAAATCGATCTACATATGATCCTGCATCTGTCCTTTATTGACACTTATGATAGATTCTATGTTAGTATAAAAGTTGAATGAGTAAGATATGCTGGTCGGTGTCTATTCAAGAGAAAAAAGTACGACCTCAGTACTTCGAAGTACTGGAGTCGTATTTTTTTCCCCCTTGGTATCTATCAGAAATCCAACAAATAAAATTTGCTGCAATATCACTTTTAAATGTATGCATACAAATCAATCTTTCATAATCAAATGTAAAAATTTCATTTGTTTAATTAACTGAATTTCCAAGAATGATTAAAGTCGTATTATTATAATAGATATCAATAGATAATATTGGTTCTGGATGATATTTAATAAAATAAAAAAAACGATATTATGAATTTTTGTACAATTATTTATTATTATTGAATGATTAGTTAAGTTTATTTTGATATATACATAGAGATGCAGGTATTAACGTAAATATGGATTAATATCTTAAAGATATTCAACAGAAATTACTTAATCGCCAATTTTCATTTAAGTCATAACCTATGATATAAAATTTATAGTTTGTCAAGCAGGTTATATTCAGTTTACTATTTTCGATTGTAAATCATAGAAATAGAAATATTTATAACCGAATCCGCATGCCATAGGTCTATCATATGTTTCTTTAAAAATGACTCTGTATGTAAATATTATTTATCAATATTTTGAATTCGATTCAAAATCATGAGTTGATCTGATTTAATTTCTATTGTTAAGTCTTCATTCTAATTCCAATTAATAAATTATTGTTGTGTCTAATCTGAGTTTTTTTTTCTAATCGATGTGTATCACATAAAGATAATTCAATCAATGATATTCTATGTTTGCTGTCATCATTTTCTGATGGTATTGTTACACAACTTTACGATATATTCATATAGGCATATACAAGAAAATCTTTACTTGAATATGGATCATGATTCTACAGATTTTAAAGTACAAAGTATCGAAACAACAAGTTGATATTTAACGAACTCTATTCAACTGGATTAATAGATCGATTACATTGTCATAATCGAATCAATTTGATGAATCGTAATTTAGTTTGTATAACGCAGAAATATTGCATACAAAAAAAACATTTTATCTTCTGTAGAAAAGCACATATTAATTTTCCTGATCTATTCTACATCTATGTTTTATACTTTCAGAAATGATTGTGCAATAAGTAGTAGATCAACTGTAATCATTCTTATCAAAAGCTATCATATTATCATTAGAAAAAAATGATAAAGACAAAATTTTACTATTAAAAAGTAACCATCCTCAATCGATCGATTATGTATCAGTCAATGAAACTTTGATCAATAAATTAATATATGATTTATTTTTAGGAAATTTATATTCTATTAATGCTAGCTATAACCATTGAATAGTAATGTACTTATAACATACTACTATGAGTTTGCTATTTCCCAGGTGTATTTTGTCGTATCTTTTGTTATTCTTTTTATGCTTGATAATGACGCAAGAGATTCTAAAAGAGAAAGAGAAGTAGTATCATAGGAGAATAGAGGAATAGGTAGCAAAATAAAGGACCTAACAGTAAAATAAGATAATAATGCAGCATATCGCAATGGAAAAAATAAAATAAACAAAGAAAATGACTGAATATAGAGTTACGTGAATATCAGCATCATATACAATAAAAAAAGAAAACTAACCAAATACGATTTCATTCAAGTTTTCACTCATCTTCTTTCCTCTTTTTGTAATCACAACATAATTATTTTAACATGGATAATTGAGAAAGGAACTATAAACGATATTGCCACAATTCCCGCTATCTATCAATCTAAATAATATTTTATTAGGAAATTATCAAACAAAATATATTATTTAACGATTTATACATAAATATTTATGGTATAAATTCTCTAAGCTACAGGATTTTATTCTAATTGCTTAAATAATAAAACAAAAAAAAACTTCACACTGCAATCCATATGAAATAAAAGTTTTATTCTTTTTTGTCTCCACCAGTGTTCTGTTGTGCATTTCCATCTTTTGATGTTGAGTTCGCATCAGTTCCCCCGGGTCGATTACCACCTGTATTTGAACTAGGCGCCAATTTGCCAGGATCTTGAGTAGGTTTCCAACGTGATCCTGCGGATCCTGGACCTGCAAAAGCTGGACGCATTCTTACTACACAACGGAAATATGTTAACTGATTGAAGAAATAGAAATCAAAGAAGAATTAGTTATCTAACAGAGAAATGATGATATATATATATAAAACACAGAAAAGATGCGATTAAGGCAATAGATAGAGAAACTAGAAAATGTCGCCAGCAAAAAAAAAAGAGATCGATATGTTGTTATTGATGATAGAAAGATCTTCGTGTCTTTTGATAGATTGTTATCAGAAATATAAGTCTATACAAGACAAACGAACATCATTAGTGTTTGTTAAGGTCAAAGACA